TAGCTCTACTAACAATTCTGCTGCATCTGAAGCCTGCCTTCTGCAGTTTTCCTAAAACCCTCTGATTTTATAGGTTGCCACAGACCTGACCTTGGCTGTTGTTACTGGGACAGTTCTCCAGTCGCTTCCTCTCAAGAGGCAGGGATGAATTTGGGACTTTTAACTTTTTGGGGTGAGGAGAGGCCTTTTGTGTTATGAATATGTTCTGCCTGTTCCAGATGAAAGTTGAAAACATCTGCTTTGATTAAACTTCTTCTTTCTGTCTGAAATCATGACATGCTTTCTCTCCTTACACTGAACCACTGGGCAAACCCTTGTACGCAGCCTTTTACTCAAAAAACACCTTTGTTAATTTACAGCTTTGCAATATAACCACTTAGTGGTAAAAATTTTGTTGACAAGGTCTGATTTTGAGCCTGTTCTGTGTCCTGCAAGCTGCCAAAGGGAAAAGCGGACCCTTACCTGGGCATAGCTGCTGGTGTTGCAGGGCTGTCTCATGTTTCATATGTTTTTCTCTTATTTCTTCCAAGATATTTCATGGTTTGACTTCTACAGAAAGCTGGAGAGCTTGAGTCTGGCACATGGCTTGGTGAGACACAGTTCAGACTCTTTGCAGCTTATTTACAAATGACAGCTCCAAAATCACTCCACAGCTCATCCTTCCTCCTTAACTCTTGTGCCATGGAACCAAGGGGAATCCTACCTGTGCATCAGGAATGTGCTCTCAGGGAGGTGACTGCATTAAATTGTGCCTATGCAGACACTGCAGTGTAAATTCAATTAAAGCATCCCCATTTTCTGCTCTGTAGCAGTGGCTCTCCCTCTCTTCCCTTGCTCTCAGCAAATCCATGGCTCTGCCAGGGAATCTAGATCAAGGCTTTCTCTTGAGCAGAGTGGAGCACCTCCTGGTACTGCCCTGAATTATATTTTGAGCTTTGGGAAGAGGATGAGGAGGAGACAGTTTATGTTTGTCTGCCTCACTGTCACTCTTCTCCAGTTCCTAATCTTGCTTTTTTGGGGAAGGTAACATCCAGTTCTCCTCAAGCACTGTTTTTACTTCTTTTTCATCACTTAGTTTATTCTCTAATTGCCAAAGGAATTTAGGGATTAATTTAAATTCCAGTGTAGTTGAGATACTCCCTAACTTGTTGCTGTTTTTTTTTTTCTTCTGTTTTTCCTTTTTCTCAAGCCCACAGGCATGAAGAGATTAATAAAGCAGTTTCTTTATAGAGTTGATAGTGCCAGTAAATGCTGAGGTTACCTGTCACAGCAACACTCTTTGTACTAAACAGCATAGGTGGAAAGACTTCTTTAAAGAAAATAATTAGGATATCTGTCTGGAGCTGGTGTTGGAACTGCCCCTCTGAAATGTGCTGCGAGAGCTGGGAATGCAGGAGTGGGACCTCTCTGAGCATCACTTGAGACCCCAGATTTTTTCTTGGCCTCTTCTCCCATTGTCTCCCTTGGCTCTTTCTCCTCTCCAGAAAGAAGAAATCATCAGCTGCACTTAATCCTGACATATGTTCCTTTTTAATTTGTTACGCCAGGATGGCGACTGGAGCAGCGGAGGGAATCTGGTGCACACGGAGAGCCAGAGCAGAGCCAGATGAACCCAGGGCCTTGCAGCTTGTCAGGGAGGGAGAGAGGGAGGGCTCCAGGTGTACTCACAGCCCTGGGGCTTTCTGGGCTCTTGCACACCTGGGCTCCTTAAATGGGCCACAGGAATATCTAGGGCAGGAGCACAGGCTGCAGCTGCCCATGCCCAGCTGAAAGCTGCAAAATCCACACTGCAAACCCATCACTGCTGGGAGGAGATGGAATTCCTGCATGGAGCCAGGGCTAAAACAGCACCTCATTGGGTTTTATTTTCTCTGATTCCTTTTCCCATGGGGAATTGCAGTGTGTCTGAGGCTGGGAAGGCAGCTCTCCCACTCTCTGTCCCTGCTCACCTGGGGCAGGTCCTGGTGCAGAGCTGAGCACGTGTCACTGCAAACTTTGGGCATTTGGCAGCGTGACAGCCAAAGTGTTGTGCCATAAATATGTCTGGCCTGCTCCTGCAGGCACTGCTTGAGAAGGAACAGCAGCATTTGTGTTTCTGAGCCAGGTAAGGTTTGGAAGGAGGAGTTTTTGAAGGAGAGCAGTGCAGTGTTTCCAGTTTGGGCAGGTATCTTGCTCTGGTGCTCAGAGCATTCAGGCATTGACAACAATTATTCTTGTTAGAGTATCATCCAAAGTCTGTGATGGTATTTGACTTTTTAGGTGAGTGATGTTAGAATATCACCCAAAGTAGAATATCACCCAAAGTCTGTGATGGCGTTTGACTCTTTAGGTGGGTGACACACCTGAGTGACTTGCATGCTTTTTGAGGAGCATCTCTGCATCCTCCCTGTGCAGATGGAGGCAGCACTGAAAAGCTGCTCTTGGTGAGCCAGTAAATGTTTCTGAGTGGTGGAAGTGAAAGAATGAGACCAGGAAGGCAGCCTTTCTCCAGGGAGCTGCTCACTGGCTCAGTTTTAGCCCCAGGTCAGCTCAAGGCTGACTCATGCCCTTGGTCACAGCCAGGTTTGCTCAGATGATTCTCATTAAATGGACATGTTTAGGCTAAAAAAGGACAGCTTCAGAAAGATGGTTTTTATCTGCATTTATAGATGCCCCAGGTCATTAGCAGGAAGCTTTTAAATTTAACGATCCTGTTTGCTTCTTGTCTGTTGGAGTGGGCTTGGAAAGGAAGGTGTTGGCTTCTTGTGGGCTTCAGTTTTGGTGTCTGACACAGTAGCTGGTTTTATTTTGGGGTTATAAATTCCATGCAAAATTTATCTCCCTCTCTGTAAATTAACCAAATTAGTTCTGCTTTCTTAATGTGCCCTAGGAAAATTTTAGGAAGGAATGGGAGAAGAGTTAAGGACTGCATGCTCTCCAGAGTATGGCAATATCAGATTGGCCATGTACACCTGGGAAAGGGGGTTTCATGGGAAGAGGGAGAAGAGGAGGCAGGTGGTGACAGTGGGACCCTGGATGGTCACTGGGCAGCTGACATTGAGTGCTGGAGAGGCACAATTAGTGCTGTTTTGATTGAATAATTTGGGTCATTTAGCAATGTGTCCCTTCCTTGCCTGAGTGAGGGAACTCAGATTTTTTTTTTGTGGTGGAAATACTCCTAACTTTGTGTACAAAATTTCACTGTTTTGCTGCATTTATTTAGAGAGCAAAGAAAGTCATGGTGTTTTCCCTGCTCTTGCTGATAAACTCACCTGCTGAAAAGGTGCCTACATGTATAAATGATGTCATGTTCCTACATCAATGCATGGTTATTCATCTGAATATCACATTCATGCATGGGAATGCCAGGGAGGGTCTGCACATCAGGGTTCAGTTGTATGGAAGCTGGGCCACATGTACAGTAGTTTGCAATATGGGATTAATGTAGTTATTATAAGTTAAAATTAATAGTCGTTTCCCAGGGCTTCAATATCTCCCCACTTCAGGAAAGCAAAGCCTGGAATTTTTTCCTTTTCTTGGAAGCAGGTTTAGATAAATGAAGACACAATTGTTCTGAGATGTGGGTTTTGTAGCAATTCCAACCCCAGTTATTCCACCTGTACTGACAGGGCAGGAAAACATGGATTTTCAGAGTGTATCATCCCTGCTCCCCCTTCCTGCAAACAGCAGAAAGAAATGCTGGGAATAACAAAGTTCATTTGTTACCTCTCTGGCATTCCCCATGACTTGCCATAAGGAAAATAAATGAGGCAGCTTGGTGGCAGAGCAGGTGCTGGGGCTGACAGAGCAGATCCCAGGCAGCAGCACGAGGGCTCAGGTGCCAGTTTGTGTTCTGTCTGCTCTCAAAAGCAGCATTTTTGTTGTTGAGAGTCAAGAAGTAGCAGGTTTGGGTTGTATTTCAGTGCAGAATTTCGCCACCTATTCAGTGCTCTATGAGAATGCAGCATTTAATCGTTTGCCTGGGCTGAAATCTGAGTTTCTTGCAGCTGACAGGGATTGATAAGAGCTGTTGATAACAAATTACATGGTAATGGTCCCAAGCCCAGCTTGCAGCACTGGAGAGGTGGAAGTTGGGTTGAGCTCCCTCACAGCCTGAGCTGGGGTGCAGCTGGGGGCCTGGCCGTGTTCCTGGGGGGACAAGCTGCTCACGTCTCGTTAGTGAGGTAATTGAGCAAGGGAGGGCCAGCTTGAGGAGCAGAGAGTGGGGACCATCATCTCAGAGGGCTGATGCTTTGGGGTCATGAACACTGGAGATGCTGGCAGTGCCATACAGAGCACCCCTGGATTGGGACTGGCTCCCACGGGAGCTGTGCTTTGGAGATCCTTAGGCTTTGTCTGCTGAGCTGTCTGCACTTGAAAAACCAAAAATACCCGAAAACAGCCCCCAAAAAATAAAAACCAAACAAAAGCATCTCACTATTACATTAGGATGTTTCTTCCTTTTTGTCTTGTGAAGCTGATCCCAGCCACTGGAGCTGGGAGTGTGGTCACACTGTTCCCCTCAAGGCTGCAAAGGAAGCTGCAGTTTGAGCTGGTCATAGATTAGACACCAGAGATTGCACACAGGAGTGGGGCTGTGAGTAGCTGATATCAGCTCATCTCTACAACTCCAGGCCCCTTCCAGTCACTTCTGGCCAGCCCAAGTGCAGGTTACTGCCTGCATGGCTCCCAGAGGTTGTGATTCCTCTGGAAAGGCTCAGCAAGGTGTTGTATCAGAGAGATCTTAAATGAGGGCAGAGCAAATCGACAGAAGCACTTTGAACAGCATCTCTGGGCATGAGGGGTGAGGAGATGGAGTCAGGAGACTGGGATGGAGAGCACAGACACCACAGACATGACCCTGGTGCCTGTCCCCAGCTCGGGGCCCTCCAGAGCAGCATTGGAGCCTTGCGTGACTTCCCCCAGCTCTTATCTTCACCCTTGCACTGTTCCCAGCGTGCTGGGCGGGGAAATGCGTGTCAGGGACTGTCACTAAGCCTTGCCACCTTCTCTTGGTACAGTTGCTGGTGAGAAGAGGGTGCCAGTGATGCCCGGATCGCCCGTGGAAGTGAAGATCCAGTCCAGGTCCTCTCCTCCCAACATGCCGCCGCTGCCTCCCGTCAACGCCGGCGGCCCCCGGCCCGTGTCCTTCACTCCGACTGCACGTAAGCCCAGTGGTGCTGCTTGTCCTGGCACCTGCTCCAGCCAGCAGGGAGGGCTCTGCTCCGAGAACCCACTGGGATGTCCCAGCCATCAGCCAGGGCACGGCGGGTGATGCTGCCTGGCTGTGCGGGAGGGGGGAGCGGGGCTTTGCTGCAGTTCTGTAGTGCTTGCAGGACATAAAACAGGCTGTGTAATCCCCTTTGCCCCCCTGCCTGCTCCTGGTGCTGCCTTGAGTCTGTCTCTTTGCAGGTGCAGCCTTGATTTCCGCCATAAACTCCTTAAGAAATTGAATCTTTTATCAGGTCAGCTTCAAGCGAGCCAAGAGCTGGGCTTTCCTCTTTATCTTTTGGAGGAGTTAATTCCCACTCTGCTGTATCTCACTTTGCAGGCAGCATTCCTGTAGCTGAGATTAGAAAGTTTTTCATTTTTTTAATTTCCCAGCCTTGAAAATTCCTTGCTGTCCATCCAGATTCTCTTTTTTCCATCTTCTCTTTATAATTTTTCCTATTAAGCCACAGTCAGTCCTGATCCTGCCCAGCTGTAGCGCAGCCTTGCACCCACTTCTTGTAGCTGAGAGTTGCTCAAAGGTGACTCCATGAATGGAAAGGACCTTCAGCCGTTTCTTACAGCTTAAAAAGAGTCCTTTTTCCCCTTCTTTAGCCAACATTTAAGCCATTTAATGTCTTTTTAAAGGCATTGTTCCGCAGCAAAGCTGCTTTACTTTGTTGGGCATGGAGTTATCTGACCCCCACACATGGCATGTACATATTTTCCATGCTCTCCTCACCCCTTTTCCCTGCACAGAGTGTTCCCTAGCTGGTTCTGTGTTGCTGTGCTGTCCATGACAGTGTCTGGGCTATCTCAGAGTTCCATGCTGGCGCTGGGGTTTGGAGATTTCCAGCCCAGCCTCCTGGAGGACACACTGTGATGTGCTGGCAGCAGCACTAATCACTGGGTTATCCCGCCAGACACATTGTCCCCATCTTTATGTGCTCAGGCGTTTTTAATGGCTCTCCTTTTGCTCAGGCAGAAAAAGACCATTAGCAAAGTGACAGAAATTAATTTTTCCAATGAGGATGCTTGGCACGCTGTTAAGGGCCAAGAAGCCTAAATCTGCTGATTGCAGATGACTTAATTGCCTCTTTCCAAGACACATGAGAGATGTGACCTGTGGTGAAGTTCATTCTTGCTTTTTCATTTCTCAGTTGCACCAGAGGGTCTTGGTCACTCAGTGGGAGTGTGACGTGCCCTGGCTTGGGCAGGTGAGGTGGAGCAGTTGGAACAAAGGGATCATTAACACAGGGTTGGATCATTAACACAGGGTTGGAGAAACAGCAAAACCTTTGGCTGTGTAGGAGCTAAGGCAGAATTTAAGAGTAGACTTAGATGATGGTTTGTTCCCATGAATTTTATCACCCTGCTGTCCCCAAACCGGCAATCCCACTGATCGTGGTACTCTGCCTGGCTTGCTGCAGCACTGTGCTCTCACCTGGCAGTCAGGATGGCAGCCCTGCTGTGTGGTGTGTGGTGGAGCAGGTCCTGGTGGTGTGCAGGATCAGAGAAGTGCCAGCTGCCCTGCGGTGGTGCCGTTGGCAGAGGGTCAGGAGGGCTGAGCCCAGAAAGGCAGAGCGCGGTTACGGGGCCGTGTCTAACGGCATCCCCCATCCACCAGCATCCCCTGCTCCCTCCTTGGCAGCCTCTCCCCAGGGTCCCCCGCAGCCCCAGGGGTGGCTCACAGCCCTTCTTTCTCCTGAGCTATAAATAGAGCACGTTGCTCTCCCCAGGCTTTCATCTGAAAGAATAAGAGGAAGTGAAATAGAGAAGGGGGGAAAGCGCCTCGGTTGTGGCCGCCAGAGAGCACGGAGCTGCACAGCCTTTGCTGTTTGAGAGGAGCTTCTCTTGGCAGCTTCACCCTATCTGTAACCCTTTTATAGTGAAATAAAGGCCTTTATGAGTAATTACCAGAAAGGCCTTGCCTTTCACACAGCTCTGGTGTACTCTGTGGAGCTGTACCTGTGGGTACATCCTGACGTCCCTGTTGTTTGCTGCTGTGGCAGTGGGTGTGAAAAACAGGAGTTTTTCAGGTTGCTTTGTTCCATGACAAAAGGCATGAGCTCACACTGCCTTTGTACCTCCATCCTCTCAGTGCTGGCCTTCACCTTCATCTCATCATCTGTCTGTGAGGGCTGTCACCCCTTGGTTGGCAGGAACCTCCTTTGTTGGTCTCTGCAGCCTTATCTTTCCTTGCATCTTAACTGACTCTGGTTAAGTTTCCCTCCTGTGCTCACCACGAAGGTCCAGGTGTGTGGAGCCTTTCCAGCCTCCGACCCTGGCATGCCCCAGAGTGGTTTAACTGTTCAAGTACCTCCTGTCTTCTCTGAAAAACCCCTCACTGAATTCATCAGGATTTGGTATGATCCTTGTGAAGCTGCAGCAGAAATTTTGGCATCTTTTCTCACAAGTTTCTGCTCCTCCCTACAAGCAAGGGGCAGCTCTGCCAGGTGGTTTCAGGGCTTCTCTGAACACCATCCCTTGAAATGTTTTTTATACCTTGTGGCCCCCTTGTCAGCACTTAAATCATAAGGGATTCAGGGCTGGGTTTTTAAGGATAAGCCCTGTGGATCAGCTATGACTCTATTTCCAGTGATGTGCTTGTCACTCTGAAATTCTGGGTTTACACCAAGCTGAGGCCCCAGTGCACAGCTGCTCATCAGACAGGGCTCGACATTGCACAACCACAGCATGGGGATGTCAACAATTTATCCTAATCCCTTGCTGAGTTCCCAAACTTCCAGCCCTTCAGTCTGTTTCAACATGCTCATCACTTACATGAGGCAAAGTTGCAGATGGGACCAGGTTGGGAAAAAACAGCTGTGTTTGTGAAACTCCCTGTAAATCCCCAGGGAGGGATGACAGGCACAGGGCAGGCTCTGCCAGCCCTCCTTGGGTGAGGTGGAGCTGCCTGAGCTGCCCCTCAAAGCAGCAGGAGCCTCCTGGCTGGAGGATGGATCCACTCCAGCAGCAGGGCTCAGGGATGTGCCCTCCTGGTGCTCAGCATTGCTTCTGTCTCCCCTTTGCAGTGCCCAACGGGATCAACCATTCCCCCCCGACCCTGAACGGGGCCCCATCCCCACCCCAGAGGTTCAGCAACGGCCCTTCCTCATCCTCCTCCTCCTCACTGACCAACCAGCAGCTCCCAGCCACGTGTGGGGCCCGGCAGCTGAGCAAGCTGAAGCGTTTCCTCACCACCCTGCAGCAGTTTGGGAATGACATCTCACCGGAGATCGGGGAGAAGGTCCGGACCCTCGTCCTGGCACTCGTGGTGAGTCCTGCCCCGTCCCAGGCTGCCTTCTCCCAGGTCCTGGCACACAGTGTTTGTTTGCATCTTTACTGAGCCAGACTCTTGTGTTTGTTCTTCCTGAGAAAATGAATGATTTATTTTATCTTTGCTGTGTTTCAAAAAGCTGTTGGTCCAGTGGCTTAGGCACCCGATTGTGTGCAGGAATTGGACAAAGCCTTTCTGTAAATCATAGAATCACAGAATGGTTTGATTTGGGACCTTAAAGATCATCTCATTCCTAACCCCTGCCATGAGAACACCCTTCAAACCCAAATGAACAGGTCTTGCTGCAGAATTGTATCCAGTGTTTGCATTTATACAGAATAACTGGGAGAAATGCTGTCCAGTGCATTAGACATGATGCTGCACATGCTTTACAGAGGCATGGAGTGGCAGGACAAGAGGGAATGGCTTTAAACTGAAAAAGAGGAGGTTTGGATTGCTTATTAAGAAGAAAATCTTCCCTGTGAGTGTGGTGAGGCCCTGGCACAGGTGCCCAGAGCAGCTGTGGCTGCCCCTGGATCCCTGGCAGTGCCCAAGGCCAGGCTGGACAGGGCTGGGAGCAGCCTGGGACAGTGGAAGGTGTCCCTGCCATGGCAGGGGTGGAATGAGATGGCCTTTAAGGACACATCCAACCCAACCCATTCTGTGACCTTGGACTGAGGCTCTGGAACTCTGGGCAGCTGTGGTCCTGTGGAGCTCCTGCAGTGATCTCTGCTTTTTGACACATTTTATTTTGAGGCTGAGCCCTGAAGGGAGCTAGACTGCAGCAGCCTGGAGCATTTCTGCTTCCAAGGCAAACCTGAGTCTGTCCATGTCCTCTGGGTCACTCCCAGGGCTTAAGCACTGGATGTCAAATGCTGTTGCTGCATTTATATAGCATACTTCATTCCATGGATGTAGGGTAGTACCTCAGCCTACCTTTTTGGGGAGGGAAGGAGAAGCTGTCCAGGTCCCTTTGGCTGTTGTTCTCACCCCAGATCGTGCTTGTTGCAGCAGAGGTGAGTTTTGTACATGCAGATTATCAAATGCTGCTGTCCCAGGCATTCCCCAGCCTGAGCAGCCCCAGGGGAAGCAGGGCTGGACCAGGAGAGGACCAGAGTGAACAGAAGGCTGCTGAGACTCCATGGCTAGGTTAGATGAGGAGAACTGAAGGGAGGAAGGTGTGCAGTTCTGAGCAGCTGGGATCAAAGCCTGACTCTGCACAGCCTGCCCCAGCATGCAGTAGATGCCAGCTGGGTCCTGGTGCCCTGGAGTCAGCCTCTGCCTCCCACTCTGGAGCTGGGGGAGTGCTGAGCCAGGCAGTTCCCACCCCTCTCCTAGTGCAGCATTCCTGCTCCACTGGCCTGAGCCTTGCTGGCTGCATCCAGCAGGATCCAATGCAAACACTGCCAGTCCTGGAGCAGCAGATGCTGTCTCCCTCCCAGTTCTGTTCACTTGGAGCCATTTCCCACATGTCTAAAAATAAGAACAAATTGCCATTTCATTTCTTAATTTCTTTTCTCAGAACTCAACGGTGACAATCGAGGAATTTCACTGCAAGCTGCAAGAGGCAACCAACTTCCCCCTGCGGCCATTTGTGATCCCCTTCCTGAAGGTGACAGGGAGCTGCTGGGGCTTGCTGCCACTCTGTGTGCCTGCCTGTGCCTCCTGGCACTGTGACATTGCTGGGAGAGCTCTCCTTGCAAGCACCACAGCAATTCTGCTGGAGCCCAAGACAGACTGCACAGAGCTGGTCGTGTGGGACTGGCTGACGTTGTGTGCCACATATGTCTGCTTGTGTGCTGGAGATAAAGGAGGCAAAGCAAGCTCCATGTGGCAGCTTCTGAGCCTATAATCTTATTTGCAAATGTTCAGATCTAGAATGTTTGAAGTGCTGGCACACGAAGTCTGTCTGGGATGGTTAAATCACAGAATCACAGGGTGGTTTGGGTTGGAAAGGACCTTAAAGCTCATCTCAATTCCAGCCCCCTGCCATGGGCAGGGACACTTTTAACTAGACCAGGTTCCTTCAAGCCCTGTCCAACCTTGCCTTGAGCATTCCAGGGGTGGGGATTCCACAACACCTCTGGGTAACTAGATGCTGGAAGCACACAGTGCTTCCTGTAACACTTGGATTTTGGGTCCACCAGCATCAGGCTCCTGGGAAAATTCAGCTAAATCTGCCAGTGCAGACACCAGGAGCTGGGGGATCCTGAGTGGGGGTCGTGGGTCACAGGTGTTACTGCTCTGAGCTATTAATGAAAGCCAAACCTTTTGGAACAGCTTCTGTAACTGTGCTTGTTTTCCAGGCCAACCTGCCTCTGCTGCAGCGGGAGCTGCTGCACTGTGCCCGCGCTGCCAAGCAAACGCCCTCCCAGTACCTGGCCCAGCACGAGCACATCCTGCTCAACACCAACACCACATCTCCTGCTGACTCCTCTGAGCTGCTCATCGAGGTCAATGGCAATGGCAAGAGGCACAGTCCAGACAGGTGACAAACAGCTTTTGTCACTCTGCTCAGTTGTTGAAGTCGTGACTTTTGTTTTATCTTTGCTGCTGACAAAGCTTTAAGCAGCATCCAGGATCTTATCACTCCCAACAACAATTCTGGCTGTTCTAAGACTTCAATGACTGCTCCTGCTGCACTATGAATTCAGGTTGGGTTCCTCTTTCAGGCAGTGTGTCCCAGAGGGACTTTTGGGTAGCACTGAAAAGCCTGAGCCAGAGAGCTGAGCAGTTTCCCACCCCCAAGGCAAGGAGCGGAGGCATTGGCAGGGCTGGGAAGGATGCGCTTCATTTTCACCACGTTTTATTCCAAGATAAAAGTTGTTATGCAATTATGTGAAGCATGCCTCAAATTTATAAAAACTGTGAAATTTTAATTTGGTCATGCTCAGAGAGATGAATCACAACACTCAGGCATCCTGAACCCTTTTCTTTGACGGGGTCACTTTGTGCGTCGCCTCACAAATTGAGCGCATTTGTTTGAGCTCTCTGCATTTACCCCGTGGTAAAATCCTTGCTGCCCAAACCCTGCTGATTCCAAATCTGCATCTTTCTGAGTACATGTACGGGATGCTAAGGAATGCCTGTCTGTGCTGGTGTGATTGCAGGAGGGAAGACAGCAGCTTTGACAGGGAGCCACTGCCGACAGAGCCTCCGGCCAAGAGGGTTTGCACCATCAGCCCCGCGCCCCGGCACAGCCCTGCCCTCACCATCCCCCTGATGAACCCCAGCGGGCAGTTCCACCCCACCCCACCGCCCCTCCAGCACTACACCTTGGAAGATATTGCCACCTCCCACCTCTACAGGGACCCCAGCAAGATGTTGGAGCACAGAGAGATCCGGGACAGGCACGGCGGGCTTGGTGAGAGCCTGGAGGGTTCCTGGTTGAGCTTTGGTGCTGGTCTTTGCTTGGCCACTCATACCCAAAGGTGGTTGATGCTGGCTGGGCATGTCCTCACAGCTGAGTCTTTGCAGAGAGTTCAGAGGAAACAGTTCCCCTGGGAAGTTAAAAACAGGAAGATTGAGTGTTTGTATTTCCCTGTATGAAGGCTGGAGTCACTGAGGGTGAGGAGGAAGGACTTAGTGTGTGAGTTGGGTGTAGCCAACCCAGCAGGCAGGAAGAGAGGACAAGGAAATAGAAATTAACTTTTCCAAGATTTCCAAAGCAGGAGAGTAGAGGTTGACCCCCTGCCCTGTTTCTCCAAGGGATGTGTGGGAGGTGCATGATGTTTTTCCAACACAACAGCCTGAATCACAGGCTCTGAGCTGCTGTGGGTTTATAACAGGAGAACCAGCTCCACAAGCAGGTCAGAGCTGGAGCCACAAGTGGATTGTAGCAGACAGGGATAAAAAAGCACCAGCATGGAATTACCCCTGTAGAGCTGCCACCTGGAGATGTGTTTTAAAATCCCAGCTATGTGGAGCTGGAAATAGAGCTCTTTATTCTTGCTTTGGGGCCACTTCTCTCTCCACTGGTCCATCTGATCCCCCTGTGGCTGTGTGTTGTTGCAGGGCTGAATGGAGGCTACCAGGACGAGCTGGTGGATCACCGCCTGACGGAGAGGGAGTGGGCGGATGAGTGGAAGCATCTCGATCACGTAAGGAGCTGCAGGGGCTGTGGGAAGCTCTGTGGGAAGCAGCAGCCCAGTGTTCCACCTGCTCCACTTGGTGATTTCCCTGTTGATACCATAGCCAGGCTCTCCTGGTGGCTGGTGGAGGAACAAGCCACCACAAGCAGGTGGATGGTGGGGAGGGCTGAGAGGAGCTGTAGTGCTTTCCTGGCAGATTTCCTCTGCCTGTGGTCAGTGGAAACTAAAATTGGTGTGGCTGAAGTGTCTAGAGCTGGGGAGCTTCTCCTGCAGAGCATGACCAGGTGCTGCCATGGCTGGCTGAGCAACCAACCCCAGCTTTATCCCCACTGGGATCTTTCCTGCCCCAGCCCAGCACAAGTGCCCAGATGCACTAAGTGCAGTCAGGATATTTACAAAATGAATAAACCTATCATTACTGTATTTTAAGACTTTTTTTCCCTGAGGTGCCAGCCTTTTATGGACCAAAAAAAGCACCAACAGCAAGACCTGGTGCTTCTGGCAGATTTTATGCTGAGCTTTTTTCTTCTGAGCAAGGCAGCTCCTCCAGGCACTTCACTGCTGTTTCTGTCAGAGATGGGATTAAAATTCAGCTTTGATCATAAATGCAGAGAGACCTCATGGTTTAAAGCTAATGGGTTTTTTGAGGGGGTGGTGTTGGGGTGGAGCAGAGGCTCTGTAGCTGAATATTTGGAGTTGGACTGTGACTCTGCAGCAGTGACACCAGGATCATAACCAAATCCCATAGGAAAGTGGTGGGGTTTTCCTCTCCACTTTTAGGAGCATGTCCTGGAGGTGTTGAGCTACCTCTTGTGGTGACCCTACCTAGTGCTGTGCCCTTGGGCATGACACCATCCCAAATCTTGGGAAACCACCTCACACTTGTCTCATCTGCCTGGTATGGCCCCTCCATGGTGAAACCTGTGATGATTGAAATATGATTCTCTTCGAGCCAGCTCTTGGAGATACATTTCACACCAAGATAGCTCAGCTACCTTAGAAGGCATAAAATCAGCTGGATGGCTTCTGTGGCAGTGTTGGAAACAAAAAGGTTTTAATTAAAGGCAAAATAACAAAACTCTTTACAGAGAAAAAAACAATCCAGGTGCAAGAGGCCCTCCTGCCCCTGGTAAAAAAAAAACCAAAAAAGTGATTAGTTTATTTGTTCTCTTCTTTTCCTAGTATTATTTTATCTCTTCTGTTTCTAGTATTTATGTAAATTCTAGTATTATATCTAGTAATTGCTCAGGTTGGACTTTTTGCCTCCTGTCCAATTAGCTATCCTTAAGGTTGAGGTGAAGTCCCCCAGATCTTATGGGATGACTTTTCACCTCATTGAGGAGAAACTTCTGAGCTTATTTCCTTTTGGAGGGCACAAAGGATAGTTTTGTGTCTTGGTTTGGAAAGACAGGAGAGTCTGCTAAGGAAGGCAGGAGTCTCCCCTGAAAT